CTAGCAGTAGGGCTCACTAAGCAGTGCCCAGTTATATCTTGCAAATGCACCAAGACACACCTTCATAAAGCATCCTAGAGAAGGCTATGCCTACCCCATGGAAACAATGGGTAAAGGCGGAGGGCAGGCAGGTGATGGGCAGATGGAGGAGATCATTTCTGCATGGGGAGCTTTCCCCTGGCCACTTGCCTATGATTGGCCCTCGGATCTGTGTGAGCTAGTATTATCCTGGCCTCTGGGTGCCATGGTCCCTGACTGTGGGGTCTGACAGCCCCCAGGACCCAGGGCCCAGCCCCCACAAGGCAGAGGCAATGCCTCCTTGCGGGTTCCCGCAGCCTGCTGCTTGTTTTTCAAACTCTCTCCAAATCCTCTTAATCTTTTTACATCTCACCTGCTGCACCCCTGGTGGCTTCCATTAGCACCTTTCCGGAGAGATCTGGTACTGGGACCGGCTCCCAGAGCTGCTCCGCCTGGCCCCAGGCAGGCTTGGTCGCTTCCCTCTGGGCAGCCAGGGTTCCAGTCTCCAGCTGGGGCCCCTGGTTGAGGGGTGGAAGCCTCTTCAACTGGTCACCATGCCCTGGCCCCCTGAGTGGCGGGGGAGAAGGAAGGGATGGGACTTTTGCTAAGTGTCTGCCACGTGTCGGGGACAAATCACACTGATCTGAAGCCTGGCCACAACTTGAAGGGCCATTGCCATCTCCAGACAGGGCAAATGAGAGACACATTTATTCGTTGTTTACAATACCCTCTGTTTTTCATGAAGCAGTCCCCAAAAGCACTTTTACCTGCCAGGAGAGATGCAAAGAATAAAGAATGTGCACTGAAGATGTGCGGCAGGCTCTGACAGCTCCCTCGCCTTTTCCCAATCACCCCCCAACAAAACCCTGATCTTATTGGGCGATGGATGGAGAATGGAAGGAGAGGCCTAGACGGTCCCTAGGAGGGGAAGGGTTTAGCCAGAAAGCCAAAGAGAATCTTCATAATGAAGAGCAGGGAGAAGGGGAAGAGGGAGTGGGAGGAGAAAAGCGGTTCAGGGATAGGTGCAGGAGGGGTTTGTTTGTTTGTTTGTTTGTTTCAGAAAGAGGCTGATGGAGAGAGGAGTGGGGCAGTGGGTGGGAGAGGAAGGGGCATCGGTGTGAACTCTGTGCCCCTCCTTGGTGTTGCACCCCACAGCAGAGGACTGGGCACATGTGTTCACAGGGCGGGACCCGGAGGCCGACTTGTACCAGAATGTTCTTAGCAGCTTTATTCCTCAGGACCCAAAATGCCCACGGACAGAAAAGCTAAGCAAAGGGCGATATATGCACACAACAGAATACTTCTCAGTGATAAAAACTGACTGATACGTGCAATAAACCAGATGAGTCTCACAAGCATGTGAAGCGAAAGAAGCTGGGCTCAGAAGACAAATAAGGTCCCTTTCTTTTTTTAAAAAAAAGAATATGTTTTTATTGATTTCAGAGAGAGGAAGGGAAAGGGAGAGAGATAGAAATATCAACGATGAGACGGAGTGCTATCGATCAGCTGTGACATGCCCCCTACCGGGGTCGAGCCTGAAACCCTGGGCCTGGGCCCTGACCGGGAATCAAACCGTGACCTCCTGGCTCATAGGTCTGCGCTCAACCACTGAGCCACGCCAGCTGGGCACTGACCCATTTACTTTTCACACTAATGACATGTTTATTACCATCGATGCTGCTTTTTTCTTGGGAAGTGTTTAGGCTCTTGCAACAGCCTGATAAGTAAAATCATCCCACACTTGGAAATAAGGCAAACAGATAACTGGTGTCCTTTCAAAGTCAAATGAGAGCAGAGTTTGACAAGCCCTCCTGAGGGTCATCTGACACTCTAGGGGCATGTCACTCTGCTTGACTTATTGTTTACTATTGATCGGGGCCTAGGCTCTGTAAAGAGAGCTGTTAGCTGGTAGAAAACTGATAAGTTGCAAATTATATTTGTCTGGTAGAGATGCAAATGATTTCTTTTCCACAGAGAACATAACCCCAACATTATGATTGTACTGCCCTATAGGGCATGAACCAGTTTTGTATCTAACTTAGCAACCTTATGAATATTCCAGAATTCTTGTGTTCTTTTTTTACTGTTGTTTTCGTTTTTACTGGATTCTCTTCTCTCTCCATAACGTAGGTATATGTTTATACTTTTCTCAGATTCTTCATTGAACTCGCTTTGTCATCTTGCCGGTTCCTTCATTAATAAGCTACCAAAAATGGACATGTACTTTATTTCTATAAGAATTGTGTATTTAATAGCTTGAAAACAACACTTTGAGAGGCCTTTCACAGCGTTTGGTTCACCTTCCTGCCAACCCTGCCACTTTCTATATGGGTGAGTCTTTCTGTCTTTGGGTTTTAGTTTCTTCATCTATAAAATGGGAGCAATCAGGCTGTCGGTTCTGACTCTGACATGTGATATCTCTAACTCCTCTTGCAGGGAAACAAAACTGAAATAATGCAATCAAAGAAAAGGAGTGCTGGAAGGGATGTTGCAGACCATTTGGAACAATCCTTCCTGCTTTTCACCCACACCCCTGTCTTGATAATGGAGAATGTGAGGCTCCGAGAGGTTAGGTAACTTGCCCAAGGTCGCACGGGTATTATTCATAATGATGCCTTACTTTTGATGTGGTGTTAGACAGTGTAAACTTCCTCATAAGTTTACATAATCCCGCAGCAGCCCACTGAGGAGGCTGTATTATCTCCATTTTGCAGATAAAGAAACTGAGGCCCAGAGAAATGATGTGGCTTGCCCAAGGTCCCACAGAGATTCTCCTAACCTCCAGAATCCTGGGGGGCAAGAGAGGGGCTGGTAGGAAGAGCTCTGGACACTCCCTTTAAACCAAAGCATCCCTGTTTGTATCTGCTGGATATATATTGGGTACTATACAAGATTGCAAATATAAAAGGAGCCCCAAAAGCTTGAAAACCCCAGCCCTAGACCACCTTCATCTGCCTGTGTATAACGCCCCGCCCCCCCTTTTCTCCTCCTCTCCCTCCTTCTGGCAAATTTCTCAGGAAAAAAAAACCAAAAAACATGGTCATGAAAAGAAGCAGAAAGACATGGCCAGCCCAGGCCTGAACACAATGGTCCCCAGTCTGGGGGAGACAGATTGCTGAACCTAAAGAAAAGCATTCTCAGGGTCCAAGCTGGCAATGATGACGCGAGCTCTGCTGGCAGGTAGTGAGCCGCCCATCAGTGAGAGTGAGCAAGGCCAGAGGAGTCATCCAAACGTTAGCAGCAATTCTCAGAATGGCAGAATTCATGGGCTTTGTCCCTATTTTGAAAATGTCGATAAAAGCTAATCATTACGCATTCACCACGTGCCAGTGTTCTGTGTGTGCATAATATACCATTAAAACTTCATAGTAATCCGATGAGGCAGAGAATCTGTTGTTCCCAGCTTACCAATAAGAAAATCAAGGTGCAGGGGGTTAGGTGTCTTTCCAAGGATGTGCAGCCAGGAAGCAGCAGGTCTAGAAAGCTGATTACTAAGCTATTCATTACTGCTCCACTGTTCCTCTTCCTTCGCACTTTTCTGTATTTACAAGCTTTTGACAATGAGTACACGCTGTTGCTTTCAAATCCTGAAAAAGTCTTCCAAGTTACTGATTTTAAAAAAGGTTCCTTCCTCCCTGATGTGCTATGCTTCTCTGGTTCCACCCTCCCCGCCCAGTACCCCCCAGCCCTCCACCCTTGCAGCCTGCTGTCCCTGCCCCCACGCCAACTGTGGTGGCTTGGGGTAGGATGTGTAATGTCCCTGTCTTGCTGAGGTCTGCTCAAAATGTCCCTGGCCAGCCTCTGCCCCCC